CCCCCCCGCCCCAAGAAAGGAAAGCAATCGCAGCAGCACTCACTCGTCCAGAGATCGGGAGAAACAGTGGCTCCTACTTGCAAATCTATTGGCGATGTGAATCCCTCCTCCCAAAATCATAGATTCTTGGTGACTGAAATGTTGATGATGGTGATGACTCGCCTTCCTCCCCTTTCGGAACAAGTAGTCTTAGGGATGGCTCGATTCGGCCCCATTCGATATGCGCGCCCAGGGATGGTTACTATTCCCGGTACACTAAAACGCGCCTCGTCCTCCTGGCCGTACTAAGGGGACCGTTCTGAGCTGAGGGAAAGAAAAGGGTTGCGGGCCCAAGACAGACGCTGCCTGGGGCTGCACTGATTTCCAAATGCATCGATGAGAAACCTCGGCAGCCCCAAAGTAAATGATGGGATGGTTGTTTATTTTGCAATCGGGTGCACGGCGCCCGGCCTGGCTAGCGAGGAGATTCCATTGGAATCCATTAGAATCCTCGAGAAGCTGAAACGCGATCCGCCTCTAAGGCCGGATGTTATCTCTCGGTCCGCTGAAGCAAACAAAACCAAAACAAAAGCAGAGCGAGATCCGCACCCCCCTTGGTTTTTTTTAAAAAGCAAAATATGCATTTGTCACGCGGGAAAGCGATGCAAGTTCCCCGCGGCAGAGCGCAGGCAGTCCGGGCTCTTTCCATCTCGCACGCAGCAGGTTGCTACTCCGTGTTGTAAACTGGCCTGAGTACGATGGAGCTGCTGCGGAGTATTGGGGTTAAAAAACAACAACACACATCCCTGAAATGAAGAGTTAATTAGAAAAAATAACCGGGAGAAATTGGGGCATGCTTACATGATTTGGAACATAGGCTTGGTGAGATTGGTAGAAGGATTTAATTTCCAGAATAGTAATCTGATAAAATTTGATTAGATCATGATGACTGGTGAAAAGTGACATTTTAAAATTGATATACCATGGGCTGGCCGTTATTATCATGCCTTTCTGGGAAGGCAAGGTTAGAGAAGCTGACAGTTCAGCATTTCCACATATTTCACCCGGAAAAGTATGACTAGATTTTTTTCTTTCTTTTTCTTTTTTCTTTTCCGCTATAATTTTGCACCAGTGAGGCTAACACCAATTTCGTTGTATTTATTTTGTACAATGACAATAAAGACTATACTATATTTGAGCCTGGAAAACCATTCTTAGAGCAAAGTATGTGTCTGGCATGTCATTAGAGCTAAAATATCTATGGACAGAGACAAGACAGCTCCTAATAGCATTTATTTGCACGCTGCAGGGAACTGGTCATGAGTTCTGAAGGTCCAATTTAATTAGAGTAGACCATTGATGTGTTTGTGGGGGGAGGCATCATCGAGAATTTACAGTGCATAGGGATGCTGAAGGAGCAATAAAGGATGGGATTATTTCTGCTTCTTTTCCAGAGGAGGAAGTCCCCTTTCTGTTGTTGAAGCTGTTTCTGCCTCTGTTACTTCATCACAACAGAGACAAGAAGGTAAGGAAGGAAGCAAAATTTTTGGGAAAGATTGTTTGGTTATTGATTACAGGTATCGCCATCAGATAACAAAAGACTTCTACATCTTTATATGTGATGGGAAAGAAAAGAGTCACATTCCTTTTTTCCCCAGATAGTTAAAAGTCCCGGAGTGCAATCTGCTTTAAACTATTCTATGAGGCAGAGTGAATGCAAAATCTAGGACTAGACTGAAGTGTAGGATGGGAGCATTTTTGCTTGTTGCCCCATCTATCCAATCTTTGCTTATTTTGTAGATGAGACATGGATGGAATAGTGGGAAATCATAAAGGAAATACCAGCAAAGAGGAAACAACGTATCTTGTGTCAGATGTATTAACAAAGATGCAAATGAACTAACTCTGGTCATTTTGTTAAGTCCAAGAAACCATCTTAGTATCTGTACTGCAAGGAGTATGAAGTGAATATTCTGAATTCAGGAGCAATCAGTTGGGTGCATGTGACATTTCATTGTAGGGTGTAACTTCTTTGCAGTCTTCTGATTGTGAGTTTGAATGAGCTAGAAGAGTTTAAACTGAGCTGAACTCCAGAACAAGGCTGCAACATTGCTGGGTCAATAGAGATAGTTCTCATTTAGTGACTGCAATTTCGACCTTTAACTTGGTTGGCAAGCACAGCATTTGCTAAGTGAAATTGCAGCTGTGCTTATGACCTTCAACTTTTCTTACAGACCCGCGGAAGGCCATAAATATGAGGATTGGTCCTAAAATTACTTTTTCATCACTGCAAAATGTTGCTAAATGAGCAATAGCAATAGCAATAGCAATAGCAGTAGACTTATATACCGCTTCATAGGCCTTTCAGGCCTCTCTAAGCGGTTTACAGAGAGTCAGNGAAGGACTCCGGGCGGCTTACAAAAAGAAGAGGAAAAAGAAATAATAAAAAATAAAATAAAATAAAAGACAGATTTAAAATCACAACACATGCACTCGTGTGTATACTATGCAAGCAGACCTGCAGATTTTCATACAACTCTATTTATAGTCATAAGATAAAATCTTTTAAGGAAACAGTTTAAGGACTCTGTTAAAAAGTCACTCTCTTGAGTCAGTGTAGATTATACTGCAGGGCTGTTTTGAGTGCTATAAACGCGCTCTAAACCCTTCTTGCTATTCCTACCTCGCATTAATGAAATCCAGGGGACAGACTTTGACCCTGGGCAGCAAAATATTCAGGGGAGCAAAAAAAGAAAAAGAAAAAGAAAGCTAAAATCGAGATCCGTGACCGCACCCCATCAATTTGAAAAAAAATGGGAGGGGAGGGGGCGACCTAATCAAATCTTGACCATTGGGCAGACATTTCAATCGTGCTCCCATCCCCCCCCCCAAAAGAGGCACGGTAGCTTCTGGCTGCAAATGCTTAGACACGGTGATGCAGCAAGGATGCCCGCGTGCGGCGCTAGGTGGGGCTCCGCGTGCCCAGCCCGGAGAGGGATCTTAACCAGTTGTTTGTCTGGGTCGGGTTGTCTTTACCTCACCAGTTCAAAGGGCGACGCTCTGACGTTACAATGGGGCTGCGCGCGTTCTATTGGTGGCGGGCCCCGCCAATCATCGGGCGGGCCCAGGCAGGAGCCGGCCTCCCTTTTCACTCACTTGACAGCAGCAGACCGACCGAGGCCGGAGCGTGGGGTGGGGAAGGAGAAAAAAAAAAAAACCCGCGTTGGGCCGCGCGTAAGAGCTGCTGGTGGCCATGGTGGAATCCGGACGGAGCCTCCTCCGGTGGTAAGGTACGTCCCCGGCATTGGTGAAAGATGGGCTTAGCAACCCACCCGCTGCATCCCTCTGTCCCCCGCACGGTTGGCCGTGCGGCGGCATTAGACGGGGCGCCCTCGGCATCTTAGCGGCACGGAGATCCCTGGAAATGCAGATCTGCTCCCCCCCCCCCCCCCCCAAGAAAGGAAAGCAATCGCAGCAGCACTCACTCGTCCAGAGATCGGGAG